ATAGCTTAAATTATTATTTTTATCTTTCCATCTGTGAAGCAGGCAAAAACATCGTAACATATAAAGTCTACAGATAAGGCAGCTATCTAATCAAATAATAATCTGTGACATATAAATTTGTTTAAATTATATGTTTGTTTAAATTTTCCCTCCCCCCCCCCCCCTTGCCCGAGCCCAAAATTTTGACGTTAAACAACTAATCAACTTTAAACGGCCTAAAGTTGTTTGTTTATGAAGGGTCGTATTTTTTTTTTTATATATACATTAGTTATTTGTACAATGCCTTGTTATGTCGATACAATTGTAAAAATTAGTCAAGTTCGTCAATCTGTTAAAGAAGAATCGATTGTGTGGGCGATAGGTGTTTATAGAGTGAAGATCAAGAAATTGAGATGGTTTTATTTATCCCGATAGTTGATTACGAGAGAGATCCTAATTCGCAGTCTGTTTTCGTTAAGAATGAATATTACAGTGACGGAGGGAAGGTTATTCCTGGAAGTTATAATAACAATTTGAGATTAAAAGTAAGTAATAGTTAGTTTCTTATATATTATAAATTGTGAGTTTTATGTTTTTATTTATTTATTTTATTTTATTATAAATTGTGAGTTTTATGTTTTTATTTATTTATTTTATTTTATTTTATTTTATTTAGATGACTGTTGCTTCGTCTACACATCTTGCTATCAGAAGAGATCCTGGTTCTAATAGGTGTCCGCTAAAAGTTTCGTTAGTTGGTATTATTCAGGATGTGGCCAAGAGGTCAATGATGAAAATGCGATTGTTAGGGTGTTAGTAAAGGATTATGTTGGTCAGAGTAATTCTTTTATTGTTAGAGTCGTATTTCCTTATCATAATAATCGTTTCAAGTATTTGATGAACTCCGCTCGACCAAATGAATCAGTGCTTTTCGTCATTGGATTGATGGAAGTTATACAAGATGATTTATGCGTCTATGCTGTTGAGACTTCTTATGTCGATTCTTGTTTTCTGGATAAGAAAAAAGTTACTAGTTCTAATGATTCTCAATCTTCATCAGGGTTATGTAAATCGGTTCGATCGAGACTTTTGGTTGCTTATCGGGATGCGAATGAAAATTCGTCTAAAGAGTTTAATGCTGAAAGTAATAATAAACGTGGGGAAGCGGATCAGTCTACGTCTGAATCATCTGTGTCTAATTCTTATTCTTCTAAACGTGTAAGAGTGGAAGATGAAGTTCCGAATCATGTTGATTCTGATTATATTGAGGACGAGAGTGAATATGATAAGGGTTTTGCAACTAATATTGAATCAGAAGAAAGTGTCATTGATGAATGTAAAAATACGGGACGTGATTATGGTAAAGGGAATAGGGAGGATACGATTTCTTCTGTTGTACATAATACGAGAAAACGAACTGAGATGCTTAAAGGTGCAAATAATAATGTGGCTGGAGGGGAGTATAAGAAAAATTGATTGGTGAATGTAGATGATATTGTGTAAGTTTTTGAGTTTGTGTTATTTTTTTTTTTATTTCACATGTAAATATTTGGTTATAGTTTTAAGTGTTTAATAAAATTAATTTGTTATGATATGCGGTTTAATGAAGTTTGATTGGTGAATTAGTGTAATTTGGGATATTTAGTAATATTTGGGTTTTGTTCAAACATATAAGATTTTAGTAATTTATTTATTTTTATTTATTTTTTTTTTTTGATGCAGTTTATTTAAAGAGTACAAATTAATTAGTTAATGTTATAATAAGTGTGATTTAAAATTTTAAAATACATGTATTTTGTTTATGTTATATAAATA